ACTTACCACGCGCGTCGTGGCCATTCAATAACTGTCATACAAAACAATTTCACACCGCATTTAAAACCTACATGTCTAGGACTTGATAAAAGCTTGAATCAAATTCGTCCGCTGCCTATGTGCGTTCCTTGAAAAGAAAAGCTTTGATGTGATCACTAGTCACTACCAAGTAACGCGGAAAACAGTACAAGCAATTGAGGAGGATACATAGAGCTGCATAAAACCAGCTGAGCCAGCCAGGCTTTAATTAATATCCTGTTTTGGATTCTGCAGATTTCCAGAATTGAAAAAGCCGTCGAGGAAGGTGAAGTTGCTATCGATAAAGCCATATCAGGTGTTGAATGTGCTTTTTGAAGCAAGGGTCTTATATTCTCTCCAGTTCCGTATGGTATGGTCTCTGCCAATCTGTTCTTTGCATTTAAAGCATGTCCTCCATCTTAATTACCGATGCAGAAAAAATAATGATGATTGCAGCTTCCCCTCACGAAAAACTCAGTGATCGAGGCACCTCCACATGTCCCTCATTTATTTCAAATTCCAGAAAATGCTCTTTGTAACGAGATATCTCGGTTATTTGATTTCACTTTCATCGACAGTTTCTAGCTGTCTTCTGCTAGCTAGCTGCTCAGTGATGTTCATCAAGTCAGGAAAAAATTAATAGGCCGGGAGTCTAGATTTCCAGGTTGGTGCATTAAAAGAGATTGTGACATCTTAAGTGGCTTTATGTTGAACTGCGATCTGGGCGCATCTTTTCTGGTTGAGATCAGAGAAAATGATGAAAGTGATAAATAATATAATCATGGAGTGTAGCTAGAAAAAGTCGCTACCGCTCTTCTTATTTAAGAAAAATGGTTCTCACGGATCTCAGACTAACGAACAGACTTTTCTCAGCTGGTTTTGTTGATCTCGTAACCAGATGGAGCCATCCCATTCCCAGATGGTAGGAGCTGCAGAAGAATGTCACAGCTGTGAATCTGGATGGACCATATATCTGGGCTCCCCCACGCACGATGATGACGGTGATCACAGTGATGATGATGATGAGGAAGGAGGAGAAGACAGGAAAGGTGGCGCTGGTGCAGAAGATGAAGAAAGCGATGACTCTATGGCTTCTGATGCTTCAACCGGGCCAAGTCAGCCTATAGGGAGTCCATGGGGGGACAGCAAAGGAAGCCAGCTGGTGAAAGAGGACGTAGCAGCGGCGGCGACAACCAAAGAAAAGGAGATTGCGGAGAAAAAGGTGGGGAAGAAAGAGATGGCGACATTCATAGTTGACAAGGTGAGGAAAAATCACTGTATCAGGAAAAGGAAGTAGCCGGGCGTTTGTATTTAAGCTCTCAGGTTCTGTTTTTAAGCTTCAACTATCAATCTATATACCGTAGCTGCGGCCGATTACTGTGTCACGTTAATTTCTATCAGACATTGATTTTTTGTTTTAATTTTAAGATTAATTAGGCAGTTGCAGGTATATATATAGAGAGAGATAGACGGAGTGTGTACTAAGTATTATTTTAATCTTTAATATAAAATTTTATTTGATTTTTATTTTGATCCTAACTATAAGATTTTAATAAATTTTCTCTTTTATATTTGTATTTTTTTTAATGATAATTTTTTAAATAATAGTAATTCTAGTCAAATTTTAAAAAAAATAACACATATTTATTATAAATAACTAACTTAATTTTTTTTAATCTCTTTAAATTAGTCAACTAACTTTTATATTTACATCATAAATCAGAAATAATATACCAATTTAGTTTGGTTAATGTTTCATGTGTGTTGAATGTAAGCAGCAAGTGGCAAGTGTGTGTGGGTGTTTGTGTATAGAACTATAGATTGATGTGTGTGTGTGTGTGATAAAGAGATGGAACAGGTGTGGGTTAGGATCCTGTACATGGAACCGGACGAAGACTTGTTCTCTGCAGTTCGTATCTCGGGGGAGCATGAGAGTCCTTTTGTGTATTTGTTTAGATGCAGCCACATTCTCATACAAGATTTACATTTCATATAGGGTTGATATAATTTTTAATCTTTTAAATTTGTTTTTATTTTAGTTTTGACTCCTCAAATTTTAAATAATAGGTTTTGATATTTTATGGGTAAAATAATTCTAGTTTTTATTGAGTTATAAGGATTAAATTTTAAATAAAAAAAATTGAATGACTAAAACCTATAGTTTAAAATTTGAAAGATTAAAACCAAATTAAAGACAAACTTAAAAGACCAAAATTTATATTAACTTTTTCACATAGTCTAATAATATTTAGTAACATTTACTAAACCAAGAGGACAGCCAAGATTTATATTCTATAACATTCACTTAATTTTTTTTTAAATCTATAATTACACCAATTAATTGTTACATTTTCTTAGACTTACTATTTATATATATTGGTAATAACTTGATTTCCTTTTCAATACTACAATGATATGTCGGAATATTTTTTGGCAAACTGAATATATTACCTCCGGTCCTAATTATAAGAGTTAGTTGACTAATTTAAAGAGATTAATTTGAAGAGATTGAGAAAATAAGTTAAGTTAGTTATTTGTAATAAATAAGTATTATCTTTCCTAAAATATCCTTATTAATCAAGTGTATTACCTAAAACTATTATTATTAGAAGGATCGACTTGGTAAAAAAATATAAATACGAGAGACAAAATGAATCGGGATTTTATATTTATGACTAAAATAACACTCAAATAAAATCTTATAATAAGGACTGGAGGTAGTATAAGATTTGTTAGATGAAATTACTCTTAAATTATTAGCAAGTCTATAGGTCATTTGGTAGGCAAAATAAAATAAAATAAAGTTAAAAAGTAATAATCTAATGGAAAAATGATAAATAAAGAAGGCTGAATATATGAAATCCTAATTTGAAAAGCTAAGGATTGTGAATCCAAGAGAAGGAAGTTATTCCAAATTAAAATTTTAAAATTTAATAAAATGACAAAAATACCTTTTATGTTTTTTCATTTTAAAAAAGGCTTAACCCCTCACTAGTGGCCAGCCAGTACTGTCGGCGTCGGCCACCGGTGTGGTGGCTGCTAGTGGAATTTTTTTTGGTCATGGCAAAAAAAAAACTGTGACAAAAAAAAAATTCCACCAGTGGCCGGTGCTGGCAACCCGCTGGCGAGGGATTGAACTTTTTTTAAAAGAACAAAAAAAAATCATTTCATTAAATTTTAAAATTCTAATTTAGAAATACCTTCTCTGTAATTCGCAATCCTTAACTTCTTAAATTGAAATTTCATATATTCAGCCTTTTTTATTTGTTATTTTTCCTAATCTAATCCTCACGAAAGAGAAATCCTCATCCAATGCTCGGATTAAAAGAGTATCGGATGGTGGGCTTAAGAGAAAATGTATGAAAAGGGCAGCAATTTCATTCACCTCCGCGTTATAACCTGTTGTTCTTCTTAGGGGGTGTTTGGCAAAACCAAAACCTAGCTTTCAGAATCACTTTTCCGCAAAACGAGGTAACCTCCTCCACATATTTACTTCGTAATCCGTAAAAGCACTTCTGAAACCATGGTTTGGTTTCTATCCAAACACCCCCTTAAAACCCGAGCTGCAAAATACTCATTGACGGTAATAGTTAGTTAAAAGATTTGTTTTAATTATTTTAATATATTTTTAAATTTATAATTATTTTCTTAAACTATTTTTGTTAATTACACAAACAAGATTACAAATAATAAAATATGATATTTTAGAAAAACTAATACAATTTTTTTGTAAATAATAATTAATTTATCTTATTTTTTTATTTTTCATAAATTAGTATTTAATAAGAGACTAAGGACCTGTTTGGATGTCTCTTCAAACCATGGTTTGGAATAGGGAAAAAGTCAGCCAAATAGGAAGGAAAAATGTGAAACCATGGCTTGGAGTAAAATCATAGTTTTGAACCCCAAAACCATGGTTTTGGTGGAAATGGTTTGAAGTTGCTTTTGGCTCAAGTGGGCCCAATAGCATATAATAAAACAGCCCCTATAATTGATGCCTCACTCTTCATTCTATACTCGGTCTTTCGCTATTTAATCTTATAATTTATAAATATATATACATATTAATTATTTATTAATTATATTATCTTATATATTATTAATTATGTTAGTAAAAACATTTTATTAACAATTTTATTTCTTGAAATTAAAATATATTATAAATCTATCCATTATATAATTATCATATTAACTTATGCCTTTTTTAGTAATTTGCACATGTAAAAAATGTTTCCGATAACAACTATCTAAACACTCTCACTTCTCATAATCACTTTTTCACAAAATCTATTTTTCAGAAGCTATTCTTCAAACTATAGTTTGGTTTCATCCAAACATTCCTTAAAGGAGAGAGGTTGAATTGGAGTTTGAAAGAAAGAGTGGGCCATAGTGATATTTGTAAGTTTGTAACAAAAAAGCTCCATTTTTTTTTTTGCCACCATTATAAATTGATAAAATTAGTTTTTTTTGGGTAAAATTTTAACATTATTCTTAATAAAAATTAGGAAAAATGACCGAAAAATACATGTTATGATTTTGACAATTCTTGTAACGATTTTGATAGGTTAAAATCTTACACAATTATCCATTTATCATGTTAATACTCTAAAAGGTATTGTTATGTTATTTTTTCTAAAAATTATTAGTTAAAAAATTTTGATTAATTAGTTAGAAAATTTTATAATGAGTTAGAGATCTTAAATTTTATAATTTAAAGTCTTTATAATAAGGATAGAAGGATGCAATATCCTTGCATTAAATTTTTTTTTTTTGATGAACCTTATGTTGAATATTGGAATTTTTTATTAATTATTTAATTATATAAAATGTTCACATTGCACCAGAATCGGTTAAAGATGAGATGAAATGAAAGGGGCAGATGGATCCGTTTCAAGAGGAAGAAAGAAATACCACTGTCACATATATACAGTGAAATATGCCCATACCATCCCTTTCACCCGGAAGGAAAAAAAAAACACTGACGTCCCTTATTAAGAGCCGACGTCGATCGCCCGGAAATGCACAGTAGTAATCAGTGATCGTAGAAATGTGGAAGCTGCTTCTCCACAGCTCTCGTGGCAGCTCCATTCGGGGTTCCCTTGCATTTGTCGCGACTCTGTCATCTTCTTCCTCGTTCTCTGCTCCTCTTTCTCATTTCCCATTTCAATGCCGCCTCCACCTTTCTCCTCCGTCTCATTCCCAATTTTTCCCACCCTTTCAGTCCCCCGCTCTCCTGTCACTCGTTGCCTTCCATTCTTCTTCCTATTCTTTCGACTCAAAATTGAAACAAGAATTGGCTGACAAGGAGCCCAGGCCTGACGGGGGCATTAATAATTCTAGTGTCAGATTTGCTGACGAGGATTATCCGACGGGTGACTTTGATTTTGCGCCCACCACTGGTTGGAGTAAATTTCTTCTGAAGCTCAAGACGCTCATTGCATTCCCTTTGGAGGGTGTTCGCAGGGGAAGCATTCTCACAATGAAGCTGCGAGGCCGGGTATCCTTCTCATCCTTTCTCATATGTTTAGAGTATTTTGGTTATTCTTTGCAAGTGGTGGATTGACTTGGGCGTTTTCTTCATAAGTTAATGATATTTCTCATTTCTCCTATCTATGGTTTATTTACTGGGGAGTTGAATTCGAGGTTTCGCTGCAGATTTTGAAATTTTTGGATTCCTCAAGGTCTTGTTCAGCGAAGGATATTAATTTTAGCTAGCTATTTTCATGGTATTTACTTTTTTCAGAGAATAAAGAGTTTGGTCCTTCAAAGTTATATCTCTTACTCATCCCAGAATCAGGCGGTCAAACTTAAGAACTTGCTACATGCTAGTCTCCTTTCAAGGATCAAATTGTACTTTTACTCCTCTGGGATTATTTAATAGACACCCATAGAGAGTTGCGAACTCTGAGAGATTCATTATATAAAGAAAAAAAATCAAGGACTAGAGCGCAGAGAGATATATATTTTTCAAGGAAACAATTTAGCAGATTTTATACATATAAAAAAAAGAAAAAGGCAAAAGACATTCTCGTTTACTTGTATGTCTCTTCTGCTTATGGCTGGGTAAGCTTGCGAGGGGGGAAAAAAAAAAAAAAAGAAAGTCTTTTTTTGTTGACAAATGACAATGCTCTGTTCATTCACATGTTCAGATATCTGAGCAGCTCAAGAGTCCTTTCTCTCAAGGACTATCTCTACCTCAAATTTGTGAGAACTTTTCAAAAGCAGCATATGATCCTCGTATTTCTGGTATCTATCTCCATATTGATAATTTGAATTGTGGATGGGCTAAAGTTGAAGAAATTCGAAGGCAAATATTGAATTTCAAAAGATCTGGTATGTTCAGCTCTGTGCCTGTGTTACAGTTTTTATATAGAAGATAAAGGCATGGAGAAATATCCAAACACTACCGCAGAAATGTAAGATTTTTTGTGCTATATAGGATTGCCCTATATAAACACTATACAGTTAGTTTCTACATCAACTTAACTTTTGTGCCGAATTTCCTATCAATAGTTAAAAATCAGCTTTCAATCCAAAATGAGTTTTCATCTGTCTTTGAGAGTTCTATTAGTTTGACTTTGGCTGATATTGATAGATAGGTACCTAGTTACCCTTTGTAAAAAATTTTAATTTCCTAATTTAATCTTTACCAAAAATTGACTTTCATTATAAGTATGAATAATGAATGAGGGTTGACTCGTCACAAGTCAGGTTGATCATGGGACTCTTGGTTGTAAGGACTGGCTGCATCGGATTGGCTGTTGCTTGATTGATTGCCTGTGCATGACTATAAAGTTATAATGCTTGAATGGTGTCTTATATGGCTGACAGTTATGTGGATGATCAATTCATCATAAAGTTTAAGATACGAGGAGAAGATCCAAGATTAATTTAGCCAATATATCCATCACTGACCTCACATGAAAGCTTTCTATGCTTCAAAATTGCACAAAGCACAAAAACCTTTTGAGCTTGAACCATGGGCAAAACACATGCCAACATCCCATGTTTTGAGTTTTTATTTTGTTTTCCCTAAAATTAATTCTCACATGAAACTTTTTGAGGTTGTAATTTGGAAAAACCCTAGCTTGATTTATTGATCCCTTTAACACATTCTCACTTGAAGGCCTTCTCAGCTTGTACCACGGGCAAAACTCATGCTCACTATACTATGTGTTGAATTTTTACTTTTCGATGAAGAATGTAGTTGGGAAGGATTATGTTTTTGGAGCTTGATCAAAGAAAGTTGAGAATAACATATCCCTTCCATATTCTTCAGCTACTAAGTGAAGGTCCCATATGCTTTTTATTGGGATCTCTTACATGGTTTTTATATGTCTGTAATTTATGATGAATTACTTATCTTCAAGGTTATTTGTAATACTCCTTTTCTCAGGCAAAAACTTAACCATTACAAAAAATATTTGATCCTCATGAAAAGTTCTGATGGTTGTTTCCTTTTGTAGAAAAAATTGTTGTGGCTTATGTCCCTTCGTGCCGAGAAAAAGAATATTATCTTGCATGTGCATGTGAAGAAATATATGCCCCTCCAAGTGCTTATTTTTCGTTGTTTGGATTCACCGTTCAAGCATCGTTCCTCAGAGGTAAGCTGACTTTGCTTTTCCGTGCCTATTTACAAGATTTGAGTCAAGATAGTAGACCTTTGAGTTTTAATTTGTCCCTTTTTCTTTTGAGGTGTTTGGGGAATTGGTTTCAATAATTAAAATAGAATTTTACTTATGGCTGACCTTGTGCATCTATTGCGTATTAAAACTCACAGATTCTTATCTGCAATATGATTCCTTTAGGAAAGTCTGCAATTTGCATATACTCCCTTTGGTCCATAATATAACAAGTATTTTAGAAGAAAATTTTGGTCCAAAATATAAGAGGTTTACATAGTAATTAATGACAGTTTTCCACTCTTACCCTTTGTTACAAGGAGGAGAGAATTAAATGTAGGGGAGAGAGGAAAGAACTTTCCAGTCACATTCTTTAATAAGGATAAAATATGTAACTTTTATCAATTTAAAACATATTTAATGATTTAACTAATGTTTCTTGGTTTGTGAGAAAACCTAACTAACGTCTTTTATCATTGACCGGAGGGAGTAGCATGTAGGCAGATCCTTCTTGTAAAAGAATTAGTTGTATGTCTCTTCTTTTGGTGGTTATTCCAGTTTTGTTGTTATTCATTAACGTGTTTTTCAGCAGGTAGGTTTATATAGTTCAAATTAAAGTTTGGCACCACCAATTTATGCTTTTTGCTATATAACCTATTCATAAAATTGGTGCCAATATGTCTTTCCAGTAAATTGGTACATATTACCCTTACCCCTACAATGTTAGTTGCTTCAATATTATTTTAATGCTTTTGCATCATCTCATGATTTGGTTGGTTTTAAAGCATTTTTCTTTCTAAGAGAGCTCAAGATAAACTCTCCAACTTCTGGTGTCCTTTGATGACTATTCCTTAGTGTGGGAAAAAGAATATGGAAAATAATTTTCTTATATTTCATTGATCAGAATATACACATATATATACAAGTAAGGGGAACCTCTGCATTAATGGCTCATTATGATAATATCATATCCTATCAAATCCTAATCATAATTATATAATATTTACATATCAAATCATATCATATCATATCTCTACACTCCCCCTCAAGTTGGAGCATAAATGTTAATCATGCCCAACTTGTCACACAGATAGTCAACACGAGTCCCATTCAGAGCTTTAGTTAGAAGGTCGCCTAATTGATCACTAGAACGCACATATCCAATGGAGATGAAGTTCTCTTTAAGCTTGTCTCTGATAAAGTGACAATCAATCTCAATATGTTTGATACGTTCATGGAACACAGAATTAGAGGCTATATGTAGGGCAGCCTTATTGTCACACCACAACTTTGCTGGCAAAGTGGTTTTGAGGCCAACTTCCTTTAGTGGCTAATATATCCAGATTATCTCACATACAGACTGTGCCATAGCTCGGTATTCTGCCTCTGCGCTCAATCTGGACACCACATTTTGTTTCTTGCTTTTCCAGGATACCAGATTCCCACCCACAAAGACACAGTATCCTGTAATAGACCGTCTCGTGGCCTTTGATCCACCATGATCCGCATCACAGAAGCACTCAATGTCTGTATGGCCATGATTTTTGTATAATATCTCACGACCTGGACATCCCTTCAAATAATGTAACATGTGCTCCAAGGCTTCCCACTGTCTGACAGTCGGGGATGCCATGAACTGGCTTAGTACACTGACTGGATAAGTAATATCCGGACGAGTTACAGTGAGATAGTTTAACTTGCCAATCATTCTCCTGTACCTCTCAGGATTCTCAAATGGTTTGCTCTTTTGAGCCTCAAGCATTCGTTTCTCATCATCAAGAGAGTCATCGAGTGGTATGCTCCCATCAGCGTCAAGGAGTGGGTTGTGAACCGTAGGAAAATTAGTCAGTGCTGCTCCCAACTTTCCACTTTCCTTCAGTAGGTCAAGAACATATTTGCGCTATGTCAGTAATATGCCCTTCTTGCTTCTCATAACTTCAATACCTAGAAAGTATGTTAGAGAGCCCAGATCCTTCGTCTGAAAGTGGGAATTAAGAAAGGACTTGAGGGACGAGATGCCCGAACCATTACTGCTTGTGATCACAATGTCATCTACATACACCACCAAGAGAATTATGCCAGCCGCTATTCGTTGATAAAATACAGAATGATCGCACTTGCTTTGGCTCATGCCAAATTTTGTACAACAGTACTGAACCGGTCAAACCATGCACGAGGACTTTGCTTCAAACTATACATTAAGGCGACATACTTTCCCACGCTCCCCCTGAGCAACGAACCCAGGTGCTTACTTCATGGAGATCACCATGCAAGAAGGCATTTTTAATGTCTAACTGATGTAGATCCCAATCATAAGTAGCAGCCAGAGAGATGAACAGACGAATAGATGAGAGCTTAGCAACAGGAGAAAAGGTTTCGGAATAATCAATGCCATAGGTCTGTGCATAACCTTTAGCCACAAGGCGAGCCTTAAGGCGGTCAAGTGTGCCGTCAGCTTTAGTTTTCGGAGTTAACACCCATTTACATCCAATGGCCTTTTTGCCTGCCGGTAAATCGACCAGGGTCCATGTACCAGGATGATCAAGGGCCGCCATCTCCTCTTCCATTGTAGCACACCAACCCGAGTGGGCCAAGGCTTCATGAATAGTTCTGGGCACAGAGATAGTATCTAGGGAGGCAACAAAGGAACTGGACACAGGAGACAAGTGGTCATAGGAAACAAAAGATGAAATAGGATGGGCACAAGTACGTTTACCTTTGCAAAGGGCAATGGGTAGATCAAGAGAGGCATCCGGGTCTGGAACAGGAGGTGTCTCAGGATTAGGGTCAAAACAAGGTTCAGTGTTGCTCAACTCAAGATCTGATGGCGAAGCGGACAAGGGAGGAATAGAAGTTGGCATGGCGGTAGTAATCTCCTTTGACCGTTGTGTATACACACGATCAAATGGTTGAACGGGTGCAGGAGCGGATGCGTGCGACGATGGTGATGGTGAAGTGACAGAGTACATCAAAATGTCATCCTCCTCCGCAGGTGGAGCAGGTGGGGAAGAACACGAGAAATATGGTGTGGACTCCTGAAAGGTGACATCTGCAGATACTAAATAACGATTGAGAGTAGGTGAGAAACAACAGTAACCTTTTTGGACCCGAGAGTATCCAAGGAAGACACATTTACGAGACTTGGGGTCTAACTTTGAAATAGATGGACGTACATCCCGCACAAAACAAACACACCTAAATATCTTAGGATCAACAGGGAACAAAGGCTTAGAAGGAAAGAGGGTAGAAAAAGGAGAGTTACCATCAAGAACAGAGGAAGGCATTCGATTAATAAGAAAGCATGCAGTTCCAGGTTTAGGAACCTGCATTTGAAACAAAAGTGCACGTGCTACTTCAAGTAGGTGACGATTTTTTCTTTCTACAACACCATTTTGAGCTGGTGTATCAACACAAGACGATTGATGAAGTATACCATTTTGAAGCATGTAAGATTGGAATGAAGTAGAGAGATATTCTTTAGCATTATCACTTCGTAAGGTGCGAATAGAAACATTAAAATGAGTTTTAATCTCAGCAAAAAGGCACAAAAATGGGAAAACAATTCAGAACGATGTTTCATTAAATATAACTAAGTTGTTCGGGAATAATAATCAACAAATGTAACAAAGTATTTAAAACCTGCTTTGGACTCTATAGATAAGGACCCCAAACATCAGAATGGACTAACTCAAAAGGGGATGAAACCCGTTTATTGACACGAGACACTAAGGGAAGACGATGATGCTTGGCAAACTGACATGACTCACAATCTAAAGACGACAAATGCTGAAATTGAGGATAAACTCTCTTAAGAGAAGATAAAGACAAATGACCCAATCGACGATGAACTTCAAAGCTAGTGCAAGCTACCGCATGAGACACTCGATCATCCAGTATATAGTTCCTGCCAGATTCATAACCTCTACCAATAATCCGCCTCGTCAAAAGATCCTGTATCAAGCAATGAGAAGGAAAAAGTGAGACCCAACAGTTTAATTGACAGGTGAGTTTACTGGGAGATAGGAGATTAAAAGCAAGTTTAAGGACATTTAGCACAGATGACAAACAGATAGAGGGTGTGGGATTAACAGTGCCAGAACTGAGAACTTGAGACCGGGAACCATCAGCAATAGAAACACTTGACTGATTAGCAAAAGCATTATAAGAGGAGAAGAGATGGCGATTACCTGTCATATGATCAGTAGCCCCGGAATCTATGATCCACTTTGAGGAAGAAGAAGCAAGGGCAGTAGCATTATTACCTGTTGTAGCCGCGGCACTCACAGACAGCGTAGCAGATTTTAACTGGGCATACTCAGCGGCAGAAATCGGGACTGTGTCACTGGTTTGTGTAGCCACGTGGGCAGAGTTACTTCGTTGCTGTTTATTCTAAAGTTTACGACATGTGCGTTTTGTATGCCCCGGTTCTTTGTGGTAATAACACTATCTCGTTGGAGTCAGAAGGAGCTCCCCCTTGCTTTGAACCACCACGGGTAGAACCCCCGCGGTTATCACTGGGACTACGAGTCTTATAGGGGCCCTTACTGAGCCAGGCACTTGTAGGAGTACTAGCAGCTGGTGGCAAGAGATTCTCAGCTCTCATTACTCTAGAAAACACATCTTGAAGGTCAGAAATCTCAGATCCGGATAAGATTTGAGAGCGAACTGTGTCGTACTCAGGTGGGAGACCAGTAAGAAAGCTCATAATAGCCATCTGCTCCCGTTGCTTATGCTGAACCTTCAAATCAGTAGTGAGAGGCATCAATACATTCAGCTCTTCATACATCCTCTTAAAGTCCATAAAGTAGGCTTTGAGAGGGCGATCCTGTTTTTCAGAACGATAGAAAGCTTTGCAAACCTCGTAAACACGAGAGATATTTCCTTTTCCTGAATACAAAAAATCTAAATAATCCATTAGTTCCTTAACCAATTCACAGTGATTAATAGAAGGAATAATCTCACTGTCAATAGAGTTACGGATCTAAAAAAATAGCCGTGCATCATCCCTTAACTAGGCCTTCTTTGAATCAGTTGTTGGGGGATCATCGGTCAGATGGTCTTCCTTCTCAATACTCCGCAAATAGAGACGAATGGTTTTACTCTAATCCAAATAGTTTAACCAAGTCAACTTGTGATCAGTAATTTTAGTAATAGTTGGGACAAGCTCCGAGACAAATTTAGTTTCAGCCATAGACGAAGTGCACTAACAAAAGAAATGCGAAAGATTGTCACACAGGGACATAAAGCACGATACCTGGATCACCTAACAAATACCAAAGTAGTAAAACAGGTCAACAGCTACACAGGGAGCTGCAAACAGAGCCAAATGACACAAACAGAGTGCCGAAAGGCCAATGAACAGTGCAGAACGTGGATGAATAGTGCAGATCATTGGAAAATCAATGAATAGTACGCCAACGCCGTACCCACACCAAGGAGGTATCGCAATCTCGCCGGAAAACAGGAGTTGCCGTCAGTCGTTGAGGTCGCCGGTGAAATGGACGTCCCACGTGCCCTCACTCGCCGGCGCATAAATCTCCGGCGAAGCTGCAGGTGGCGTGTGATGATCACACGCTGGTCAGATGGCCTTCGGACGTCGAGGTGTGGCCGATCTGGAGGAGGGGAGACGTTTAGTTAGGGCGGTGTCACTCAAAACGGCTCCGTGGAAGGGTCACACACTCACAAGTTTATTTTCGATACTGTAGCAACCGAAAATAAACAGCCAGAGAAGAAAAGGGTCGCACGCTCTGATACCATGTGGGAAAAAGAATATGGAAAATAATTTTCTTGTATTTCATTGATCAGAATATACACATATATATACAAGTGAGGGGAGCCTCTGCATTAATGGCTCATTATGATAATATCATATCCTATCAAATCCTAATCATAATTACATAATATTTACATATCATATCATATCTCTACACTTAGCGTGGATCAAATATTTATTTTTATATAATTTGTTTTTTTCCCCCTCTTTTCAGGTGTTTTAGATAACATAGGTATTGAACCTCAAGTTGAAAAGATTGGGAAATACAAGAGTGCGGGGGATCAGCTTACTCGTAGAACCATGTCTGAAGAAACTTGTGAGATGATGACTGCACTGCTTGACAATATTTATGCAAATTGGCTGGATAAAGTCTCTTCTTCAAGAGGTTCACCTTCATTTGAAGTTGTAATTAAACCTTGAAGTGATTAATTAACTTATAGACTTCTGCCAAATTTGTACAGGAATAAAGAGAGAAGAGATTGAGAATTTCATAAATGAAGGAGTCTATCAAGTAGACAGGTTGAAAGAAGAAGGCTTCATTACGAACATAATGTATGAGGATGAGGTACAAAATTCTTGAAGCTATTTTACGCTAGCTCTTTGTTATTACTGTAAATCATGTATAGAATATCATCTACTGATAGATTTTAAATTGAAATTGAAAGTTTGAGGTGAGTTTATCGTCTCTGTCCCTCCAGAGTATGGTGGCTTTATTTGATTTCTTCAGCTCACTCAGGAAGCTTTTTACTGTTCTCACTGTTGACTATGTTATTATGTACTGACCATTGATAATGGTGCTCATAATTTTACTTTTAAGGATGTAAGCAAAGCAATATCATGGAGTTTTAAAGGATATGGAATATTCAATTTTTGCAGGTTATTGCTAGGTTGAAGGAGAGACTCGGATTGAAAACAAATGGAAATCTGCATATGGTGAATTTCAGGTTGCCAATTTCTTTTGGTCAGCTTCTGGTGATGGTATCTAATAGATTATGCTATTTCTTTGAAGTAGATGAAAGTCACCTTTGGGAACGTCTAAAGAAACTCTGAACACATCCTTTGCCTTGTAAAGTTTATGGTCGTTTTATCTTTTTCATAAAAATATATTCCTTATCTTTGATTTAACTCTGCAACTACAACAACAAGAAGAAACCTTATCCTGCCAGGCATGATTGGCTACATAGATCACACAATACCATTGAGCTTTATCAAAAACCAAATATTTGGATAAATTATCAACCAAGAGGTCCTTTTCAATAATCTCATTGAGTGTTTTCTTTGGTCTTCCTCTACCTTTTTTCAGAGGATTGATTTAACTGTAGCAGTAAAATTTTTCGACCTTCTGCATTCACCATCTGGCCATTATTCATGGCGGTAATATTTTTCATAACCAAATAACTGCACGTAATTTCCGGCATCAAAAGTATTCTAAAGTAGCCAGGTTTCTCTCTTCTTTAGTTTTACGTTCTGGCAGCGTAACAATCTGGAACCATGTTTTCACCCCAACTTTTTGCTTTAAGAGGTAAGAGGTGTTACAGGCTTAAATGTAGGGGCAATTTTGATTTAGCATCTGTAGACCAGGTTCAAGTCATTATATGTTAAAACAATCTTGAGGTCCCCGGTTATCTATGCTTGGGAATTTCAAAGAATTGTCAAGTAGTTGTCAGAAGCTTGACAATTATACTGCTGCACCTGTGATGATATCTAAATCTTATTTGATAATACTCTTATGTCTGGATATTGCCGTGAATATGGAAATGATTACGATGTACATGAAACTTCATTTGACATAATTTCAATACCCTGTATCTGCGGAACTGTGGAGTTTGTGACTTGCACTCATATAGCCAGAAAAGTAACCTTCTTAAAAGTTGTAGCATGTTTTTATAAATCACAGTTTTCATGTTAATTACTATGACCTGTTTTCTCACTTGACTTCTATTGGTTACTGATGCTACATCGAATAAGATGTATTGACTGTCTTGTTTTCTTATTAAACATAGGAAATACTGTAGAGTTAAGAGATGGACTGTTGGAATATCAGGTGGTAAAGACCTGATAGCCATCATACGAGCCTCCGGGAGCATTAGTCGTGTCAAGGGTCCATTGAGTGCATCTAGATCGGGTATTATTGCTGAGCAGTTCACTGAGAAGATTCGCAAAGTAAGAGGTACACAGTACACTTAACAGCGAAGCGTAATTAAGCTGATACATTGCATTGATTGTTGAGGTTATCATTATGCATCATCATGGCTATTTTCCTTTTAGAATAATTACGTTATTAATTATTGTCGTAAATAAACAGGGGCATGTGCATTACATAAAATATGAGTTGAGCCACATGGTGCATGGCTTGTGAATAGTGTGGATTTCTATGGATTATATATATATATATATATATATATATATATATAGATATTGATATTGATAATGGATGGGAAGTTTACATATTGTTTCTTTTGGTAACATATGACTTCAGAGTTATGTTTTCCTATGCAATATTTTGAAGAATAAATTTGACAAGAACAAGAGGAAGTTGACTGGGGATAGGGGGCTGCGATAAGGAAAACTAATTAATTTGTGAGACGTGAAATTTCAAGTACATGAAAAAAGAGACACATTGGCTAGAGGAAACCCTAGGTTGGTATGCATAGGTGACTTCCAAGGTCTCTTCATTTAATAATGTATCGAAAATAAATAGTTGACCCGAGAACTAGATGTGCTTTGACTTGGTCTTTGTTCGTGGGTGAAGATTGTAAACCGATACCACACTGAAAAAGAAAGGAGAATGAGAAAGCGATTGGACTGCATTCTAAAAGCCTAAACCCATATTCTTAATACCCATTCCACAGGATTTTCTCAGTACTCACATTGTATAACATTGACTTCGCAAGCTTATCCTGGAAGTACTAAAATTAACATAAAGCACTCTTCTTAACTCTCAACTGAAGTACACATGTCAAGTAGCTTGTGGGTTTTGGAAGGAGTTCAATAAAAGTGGATTAGCCAGTATCTTTAGGCATCATGTAACCGTCCGAACTCGTGGGTCCACCAAGATCTTTGTGCAAGCTATTCCATCTGAGTTTGGGATATTGAATGAGTCAGGAACTTAATGCTATAAATACTACAATGTGGTATGACTGCATGAATATATGGCAACGGGTAGAATTCTCTTTCATCCCTGTACCACGCTCTTGTACCCCTACAGTCAAGATGCTTTCCTCATCCTGCCAGCAACATTTATCCCTGACTTTTCCTTGGCCTTGCAAGTTGCAACTGAATAGAAAAATGACCGAGTGAATGCTTTGTTGCTCAAAGTGGCAGAATTCTCTCATCTCAGCACCGTGCTTTTAAATACCCAGTTGAGGTACTTTCCTGCGATCAACATTTATTCTTGAATTCTCCTTGGCCTTGCAAGTTGCACCAGAATAGAAACTTGACCAAGCTAATATTTCCTGTTGAAAGTTGTTAGATATGGTGTGAAGAAAGGTCCATAATGAGTGATGCTCCTCTAACTAAAAGTTCCATCCACATTTTGAGTCCTATGCTTAATCTTTTGAACACTTGTTTATATGATGTGATACTTCTAGTCACATTTGGTATTCTTTTGCTCATCAGCGTCCAGACAATATAAGGCTGCTATTATCCGAATTGACAGTCCTGGTGGTGATGCCCTTGCTTCTGATTTGTAAGTGCTGAAAATTTCCCTTTGGCTTCGTCAAAGCTATATTTAGAGTAAATGAAACAAAAATTTTTGTGTTGGTCTGAAATTCTTGGTAGCAAACAAGTAGAATGGATATTTACAAATGCATAATTCTTTGAGGAAATGAATCTCATTTAGGCATATTTAATTTAATTTAAGCATTTTTCAGCAAATCTTTCAATCATATCCTTAATGATCTTGTTATATTTGAAATACGTCCATGATCTCGGTTACAAATAGAATGCTAGATACTTTGGTGGTTTTGTTTCGGGGAAAAATGGATGTAGTAAAAAAGGAAATCTATATTAATATCTTACTGCAGACCATTTTGTGGTGTCAAAATCTGCAGGATGTGGAGAGAAATCAGACTTTTGGCTGCCTCGAAACCAGTCATTGCGTCATTATCTGATGTTGCAGCAAGTGGAGGTTACTACATGGCAATGGGAGCTGGGACTATTGTAGCAGAAAGTCTTACCTTGACTGGATCAATTGGAGTGGTCACAGGTGAACCTGAGTGTTTTATAGGTGCAAGAAGAGGGGCGCCAAGAAGTTATGAATAATGTTTGACCCAAAATTTTGGGGGGAAAAAATAGCAACAAGAAAACTGTAAAATAGAGGTGAAAGGAGTGGGCCGCAAATAGGAAACTAATAGTCTCAGTATGATGAAGTCCTGGTATTTCAGTTCAATTTTGTTGTTAATTTGATGATATAGATTAATTCTCGTAGGAAAATTTAACTTGGGGAAACTGTATGAGAAGATTGGCTTCAACAAGGAAATTATATCAAGGGGAAAATATGCTGAGGTCCTGGCTGCTGAACAACGTCCTTTTAGGTAATATATTTCAGGTTTAACGTTCTGAGAAACAAGACAATACTAACCAGTTACTTTGCCATCTGATATGTCAACTGTTAGGATTTTGAGGAGGGAAGCGCAATCCTAATAGGCAAATATTGCCATGATGCTTTTGCTGCGTGACATTATTAGGCAGTCATTTGGGGACTGCATGATACTTCTAAAAGTACTTAGTGTCAAATTGATCTGTGGTTCATACCCTGAAGGGCTTAAAGCTGCTGGGGCCTAATGTTTTACAGGAGTATGAAAGGAGAATGAAGAGAAAGGAATCCCAATGTGTATTATCTGTTGATGAGGTGGCAGGAGTAGAAAATGGACAGGGTGTCAGTAACTAACCAGTCTCATGGGGTATGACGTCAAAAGGATAGAGATAGACCATTAGAGGGGGTACTTCTTGGACCCTTGAGGGTCAGAAAGAGGCTATGGAAGGATTTGACTGTAGTAGCATCCTTAGCCTCTTTAAAGCTAGAGGAGTTTATCTTTCTTCTTCTTCTTTATCTTATTTTTCTATGGTGTGATCCTATGATCTGCTGATTCTATCCTATTTCACTCACTTGGGGGAGGATTACATTTATTTTCCTCCTTGATAAATGAAATTCATCACTCACTATTTTGCATTTGCTGTGTTCCTTGTTGGATATATCTCTATCCTTGAATCCAGTTTTCGGGATGAGAACTTGAGGAGTTTAAGTGTAATGGACGTTTGCTTAGCCCTTGCATAGATAAGTTGCACTTGTGTTTTATCATGGATGTATTTGGTTTTATTTGATGCCCATGCAAATTTGTTTCTTTTCCTATTCTCAAAATCTCTCCCCTTCCCATTAAATTCTAGTATTGAGGTAATGTTTTATAGGGATTCAATGGCATGCCAGCTGCCATGCTTCCCCTATTTATATTTGACTCTTCCTCTGAGGATGAATACAAAAAACAGACCTGATATCCGCTGAATTATTTTCATGGTATCAAAGCCAAAGTGGCTTGAGCATCCTAAATGGCAAACTACAGGTATAAGATAACCTTGAATGCTGAAAAATCCAATCCATCCTTTGACGCTGCCATTCCGAACAGTGATGAGTTAATAAAGCTACAGCCCTGAAATGAAAGCAGTTTTTTTTTTTTTTTTGTTGGTTCGCATTAAGCAACTGAAGAAGGCTTGCTCTTTCCTCAAACTCGCTCTTCCACCTGGAAGAGAAATGTAGAACACTCTGAGTGCGATCATTGAATTACCTGGCTAGGCATCCTGTGTGTCAACTTATAGTCATAAACCAAATATAAAGGATATTACAAGTAGAGCACACCCAATCTTCTACTTTTGATCAAGACACTCATTAACCTATCCATGACATACTCAATATTCTAACATGTGTAGTTGGCATGGCCACTGTAGGGTTTCTCTATTCAGTAATTTGGAAAAATGATCAAGTTGGTATTTGCAAGTTGACTGTAGAAAAAGAAGAGAAATCCCATGGAATGATCCCAATGTCTAGTTCCAGACACTACAAGGTCATCTCAGGGGTGCACAGTGCCCGGGGGTTGTAAAATTTAGCATATGACTTTTATTTAGATATACTTATCTGGCCTGCTTGTCTCTATCCCCCGGTTTCTACTGAATTTTGTGTTTCAAATCCTATTCTTGCCTTTTCGTGTTTCAATTCATGGTATGATTTTCAGGGCTGTTACTTTTTTATGTTGTCAGCAATGTATGATTTCTAGGGAAGACGCGTGTTATCAATTTTTTTCTTTTTTATTTTGCACAGACCAGACGAAGCAGAGCTATTTGCCAAGTCTGCACAGCATATTTATAAACAATTTCGAGATAAGGCGGCTTTTTCTAGATCAATGACTGTGCGTTTTTGTTTTAGATATGCAGCTCCTTCCCCTTCTTTCTTCATCCTTTTGGTAAGTCTAAGCTAAAGCTACACTTTGTTCAGGTAGAAAGGATGGAGGAGGTTGCACGGGGGAGAGTTTGGACTGGTGAAGCCGCAGCTTCACATGGTTTAGTTGATGCTATTGGTGGGCTTTCTCGAGCCGTTGCCATAGCGAAATTGAAGGCTAATATACCTCAAGACAGACAGGTTTGCTTAGTAAAAACCATTTTATAAGCTCAGCTTGGTTCCAAGAATTGCAAGTTTACTTTGTAAATGTGCTTGAGCTGTGCCAGGTTACTCTTGTGGAACTTTCCCGACCTTCTCTTCCAGAGATTTTAAGTGGCGCAGGGAATGCCCTGGTTGAAGTAGATAATACATTGAAGGAACTGCTTCAGGACTGGACATTTTCTGATGGAGTTCAAGCTCGGATGGATGGAATCATGCTTGAGAGGTTGGAAGGATATGCTCACCGCAACCCCGTTTTGAGGCTGATGAAGGAGTTCCTTGGTTCTCTGTAGCTTTTGTTGATGGTTTATTCTATCGTCTTCTGTTCTCATGAATAAGTCCTTTACTCTTCCACTTTCGCCGGAGTAAGGATCCACCTTCCCATAACTTCTGTTACGTATCCTTTTGCCCTTGCCATTCCAATACTTGATATGCATTAAATAAGGTGCGAAAATGATAGCACATTGGATCAAGCAACCTATATATAAATTGCCATCTTGCCAGTCCTGCGGAATTGCTACGCACACAATTTTTCTTTCAGAAAAATTAGAGACCTCTTGAAAAAAACGGATCATTTTTTTTTTTGAAAAATTGTATATTATCTATATCAAAACATATTCTTTGGAAGTTTGATGTAGATTTTGCCCTCTTTTTTTAGTTTGATTTTTTATGACTGTATAATATTTAACTACAATAAGCTACGTGTATTCTTGTATTGGCTATAGAAAATAAATACATCCAGATTAAATTGGAAAGAAAAAACGGAAAATTATTGTGCAGTCCCACATAAGCAATCTAATTACTAAAATGTCCTACAACAAGTGAACAACTTATAATAACAAATTTCAGTATAAAAAATAATAACAGATTCATGTTATTTACTTATGGAAAAATTGGTAAAAAATTCTTGTTTAAAAATTTAATTGACCACAAGGACTTGAATTTGGGTGAATGTAACTATGATTTGTGAGTGTAATATATTTTTTGTTGTGTGTAACATATCATCAATGATGTGTAATAATCATTGATACGGAAGTTATTTACATACTACCTCCGGTCCTTATTATAAGACCCTGTTTGATTTTTTGTTTGGTCCTAATTATAAGACCTCAATCCATTTTGTCTCTCATATTTATGCATTTTTTTCTAAAATAATCCTTCTAATAATGATAGTTCTAGCCAATATACTTAATTAGCAAGGATATTTTAGGAATGACAACACTTATTTATTACAAATAACTAACTTAACTTACTTCCTTAATCTCCTCAAATAAGTCAACTAGGTCTTATAATTAGGACCGGAGGTAGTATAATGGAAGATATGTTGCATACAGTAAAAAAAATGTTGTACTTACAGATTATATTTACACCCGCTTAAATTCAGATATTTTTAGTCAATTAAATTTTCAAACAGAAATTTTTTTATCAATTTTCCCTACACTTATTGAAGGATTTTTTTAGTAATTAGGTTGCTTATGTGTATTGTATAATAATTTTTTCCCCTAAAAAGTTCTTGTTTAAAAATTTTAGTTGTTAGAAGTGCTTGAATTTGAGTACTTGCAACTTATTTTTAGCAAGTGCAGTTTTTTTTTTAAAGCCATGTGTAATATATCTTTAGTTATATACAAATCATTTCTATTTTTGAAAAAAATTTTCACGTTGTTAAAGATAAGTTGAACATACTTGAAAGAGTTATAATTCTTAGAGACGGGGAACATAAATTACTTTTGGCCAATAAACTTCTCAAACATATATTTCTCACCAAATTTCCCAAGAAAATAATGATTGATTTTGAATTTACCAAATGTGCCACATACGGCTATACTTGTAAAGTGAGCCACTAAAGCTTCACCAGGCTGGTTCGAGTGGTGATGATATGGTGGAATGTAAGTGCATGATTATAATGTCAAAATTAGTCCCCCCCGTCTTAACATGACTAGAAGCGCCAACAAAAAACCAAATAAAACCTAAATATCCAGAGTTCAAACCTTTTTTATGTTAATACCTCTGGGCTTTGCCACCCTACTCACTTCAAAATACTCTTTTTATTTTTTTTTATAAGTAATAACTACTATTTCCTTTTTTTCCTAAATATAAACAATATTTATAAGTTGTCTTAAATTTTTATAGCAAATTTTCTATTTTACCCAATTAATTAATTATTTTAATATTTAATATATTTATTGTCTCATTTCTAGAACTATCATCTCTCTTCATCACACATTGTTTCTCTTTCATAATTCTTTTTATTATAATAATCTTCTTATTTTTTTTATAATCTTGTCTCCCATAAATAAGAGTATTTTAGAGAAAAAACTTTCGATTTCTATCAATTTATTATTTTTAACTAATTTTTTGATTTACGTAATAAAATTTGAAGTTGGTTATAAAAAGGGAAGGATGGAGTATTATTTTGATCATGGGCTTCCATAATTTTTATTTTATTATTAATCAATATATCTTTTGACGTTTTTATTTTCTAACATCTTGTCTCCAATAATAAAAGCACCAAATCTATTTTTTTCCTTACAATGGCCAACGAGACTGTGAGTGGCAGGGCGTAACAAATCTAACTTGTTTCTTTTGGCTGGCTGCAATTGCAAGGGAGAATTATATTAAAAATAATAATAATAAACAAAAATAATAACTTAAGAGGGATGATGAGCTTGAAATTCTATGAAGATCTTATTTTTACGAAACAAAGTAAAATAGGATGGGATGGCGATTTAAGGGAAGGCGTAATCTATAATCAATCATTAGCAAGATTAGCAAGAGTGTGAAATTCGTTTATTTTGCCGCAAAGCCAAAGCGTAAAGACAGACAACCAACGCAGCATCATTTGGTTTGTTCTTTCTGAAATTCAGCCATCTTGGAAATGGCGACGCTGCCTTCTCCTCCTCCCTCGGCCTCCAATTCCGCTAACTCCGCCGCTCACTCCCCTTCTCTCTCCACCGCCCCTTCTACCAACCAGGTCACTCCCTTGCATGCTTCTTCTTCCCTCATGCACGCTTCGGTTTGCTCTTTTTGCTAATTATTTGAAGGGTTTCGCTTATTTTTACTAGGCCGAAATTGCTGAGAGCAACGGGGTTTTCCATGGCGACGAAAAGCCCGATTTAGCTGATGGTCTCAAGTAATTTTCTTTCTTCTTAAATTCTATATCCGTCTCTTTCTTCCCTTTTATTTCCCCTGATTAAGCTTTTTTTTTTTTTTGGCTTCGTATGTGGTTATTTTGCTCCGCGATCTTGAACTAAATTGGATTTATTTTATTTAAGTTCATTTGAAGTGGCGGGAGTTTGAAAAATTCCAAGTATGTCCTACATAGTTCTCCTTGGACGACCATATTCTTTTACTATGAAGGGAAAGTGAGCTGTTCTTTCCTGTATGCTGAAAATTCTCTTCCAACTGCAATTTTTTGGAGACACTGAAAATATCGAAATCCCGTTCTCAAACGTATTTTTGATTCAATATTTTCAAGTGGGTGATCAAGGAAGAAAAAGTATACATCTCCACACCTACATTGCATCCTCGCATCCTCGCATCCTCAATCAGTAAATGCGTCTGCCTTTTCATGTATGCTGTTGAACATTTGAACTAAAAGCAAAGTCCTGATATTCAGCTGTCGCTATTCAGAAAAACAACAAGAAATGCTAATAATTTTCTTCATGGATGCGACATAAAAAGTATGATAAAATACAGCCTTATTAATCTGACAGAAACGTTATGATGAGCTGGTGTTAATTTTTCACGTTGTTAGCTATGCATGACAGCTAGGAAAAGGTGACTATTGACTGACCTTCTTAGTTTTTGTGTTTTCGATGCGCGCAAGGAATAGATATCTGTCTGAAATGCAGCACCGCGACTGCAGAAGATTTTATTAACTGTCATAAGAAGACAAGACTAAGTCACAGTACCTGTGACAATAAACAGAGACAAAGTGAAAAATTAAATAGAAATGAATGAAAAAATAAGCACAAAAAAGTGGCATGGTTCAGATTATGCAAATGAGAATATTCATGGAACTTACCGGTCCTGCCTGGTTTTGTATCATGAAACTACTTATTCTTTTTCTTTGAAAAAAGAAAAAACAAAACCATTCAGGTTTGCTTTTGACCTTTGAGTGCCCCACAAAGAGATGTTTTCTGCTCCCGCGCTATTATCTTCCCTCACTTATATAATTTACTTCAATTCCTCTTTACTACTGGGATTGAGAAAACTAGTGTCATTTCAAATCTCACTGTACAGAATTAACTTTGTCATTAACTTTGTCAGGGGTATCTTTAAAGTGGATTAAAATTGTTTTTGGCTATCATATGGTTTTATTTTTAGTCAAAATAATATGGCCATACAAAATTCCCATCGTCCCTCCCCTTTCCCTTGTGATATATTCCATAAACAGGTGACTACCTTAATTTGCTTCTATTCTGAATCCATTCATCTACATTTTCTAGAATTTTTCCGTCACAAAAGAATCTAAGTTTACATCTAAAAATGCAATTATGATGTCTTGTATGATATGCACCTTGTATTTGTGTATGACGTATCTTTGGGCAAGGAATACATTTCTCCAAGTTCCTTGTCCAAATGAAGATAATTATTCTTGTGTTCTGCATTTTGTAGTGATCTGGATAGCACACACTACATTGAAAGGTTTAAAAAATATGAGGCTGATTACACCCGTCGCCTGATAGCCAAGTATTTCTCTGGAAAAACCCCAAATGGAGGTATGCAGCAATAGTTATTTGAACGGATACACAGATTTCCATCTTTCTGTAGACGTTGTCAAGTCAAATTTAAGGTGCCTGCTCTCACTGCTAGATTGTGAGTTTGTGACTGATATGATAGATTTCCTCGATTTCAGTAATAAGAACCATCGTGCAAATGCTGGTCACTATGTTGCCATAGTTCATATAATCTTTCTTTTGGGTTATGGTTTTCATTATTCTAACATTACTTTGTAACTAACGATGTGGCTGAAACAAAAGCGTTCATTGCCTAGTCTCCCGCAATTGGTTTTTGTGCTCTTGACCACTCTCTGTTTGGATCCTAACAACTGGTTCCGTCTATTCCACTCAGATTGGTAACCTTGAAATCTACAGTCCTACGTCTGATTTATGTGTTCTATCTTATGATCTGCAGTCAATTTTTGAAATATAGGAATTAGAATTAGCAGTTTAGGAAAACGCTTCTAGTGCCACTAATGTAGTATTGGACCAGTGAGATGATATGTTTTAAGATTGTGTGTAAATTGTAATGGCATGTGATATTGTGAGGAAAATAGAATATCTTATCATTTAGTTTCACAATGTTGGACTATTTTGGTTTTTTTTAATTCCTTTCGTGTACCTAGTTTAGAGCATGAAAACGTGAATGAGACATGATATGACCCGTCAAAGAACGCCTGAAAGCTTTTAACATTTTGTTGCCTCTTATATGTCCTGTATCTGTCAAAGTCCATGTTTCTTTAGAGAGACGCAGTCTGGCTGTGTTTACAGTAATGCCATGACACAAGTAAAAAGCAAGAACTGAACTTCATATTTTTCTTCTTTCTTAAGGTATACACTTGACACTTGACAGTAAATAAGACCTTTTGCAGGCAGCATATTTGATGAGCAAGTTACAATAGATGATGAAGTTATAAAGCCAAGCAGGTAAATCAAACTAAGAATGTGTGAATGACCAAAAATTTTGGACATTGTAGAAACTAATCTTTGCTAGGTCATCATTGTTCAGGTTGCCTTGTTTCCATTCATATGCGAACCCCATTGTAGGTTTTGAAGAGCAATGCAGCAATGGATCAACTCCTGCAGTAGAAACGCCTCCTAATATATCAAATGGGAAACACATTATGAAGAACAGTTGATCGCGCATTTGCATGTATAAACACCCGAGAGTATGGCTTCATTAAAATCCCAGAGCCGATGACAGAATGGTTATCAGGGATTTGATGAGACTGACTGACATGGTGCTATCTTGTGTAGAGGGTTCCTGATTCATACAATTCAATATACTGATAACAGAGCAGCGGAACTGCATTGAAATTATGATATGATGGGTTTGTTATGCTGTGTTAATCCATTTGCAAGTCATATGTAGTCTATTTTAGTGTATGAAGACCTGTAGAATTGCGGATCTCAATGCATATGGGCACAAATGAAATATTTTGATTGAAAGATTAGAACAACCAATCTCGGGGAATTGAATCAGGGCTTCTAAAAGTTACATCAGGAGCCAGCAGTGTGAAGGGATTGAAGGATCATTCTTTTCATTCTTTTTACCTTGTATTAAGGAATGGGAGAAGCTCGGTTTGGGGAAATGACAAGGAAGTTTGGCTTGTCTGTCAAAATATTGTTCACTTGCGAAAGATGTTAAAATGGATCCCTTGCTGCTTGGCAGAAGCGAGGCAGCAGAGGGCGCTAAGTGCTAGCTGCTATGTCTGCCTAGCGAATCATCACACGAATTATTTGGATTTGTTCTGAATAAATATTTTTTTTCAATTTTGATATTGTTTTTTATACTTTGAAACAAGCAAATATTTAACAAAACACCTGGAGAAAAAAAACTTACGTGTAGATCATCCATTAAATTTAGACGGTCTAAATATATGCTTTCATGATTCGGCAGAGGAATTGAGCCTTGGGTAGTTATTCTGGCATAGAAGTGTGATTAGTCAGGAATAAAAGGAGATGATATATATATATATTCTTCCTGTTCTTAGTATAGCACCTAATTAGAAAGTTGATCTTGGCTTTAAATATAAGATTTATTTCTCATATTTTTTTTTTTTTTCTAAATTACCCCTATTAAATGATTAAATACCACAAGAATACTTATTATTCATTAATAATATACATATATATATTTTATAAAGTGAATGGGTACTTATTACTTATTAATTCCACACATACATCAATTCTATCATTTTATATTTTTAATAAAATAATTTAAAACATTTTTAAAAAAAATATTTTCATATAAATACCCATTCAAGGTAATTGAATTTCTTACCTCCGAGGAATAGTATAATAATAAGCATACTATCTATTTTCTTTGTGGCCAGAAAACATAATCTTCTATTTATATTTTACCCAATCAAATAGAAAAAGTTCCTCCCCAAAGAAAAAAAAAATTAATTATTTTTTCTTATGAACAGGAAAATTAAAAACAAATAAAGAAACAGAAACAAAACACACCCTAATTTACACCCTCTCTCTCTAGCCAAAAAAAAAAATTAGTTCTACACATTTATCATTCCTTTTAAATCTATAAACTAGCACCTCATGATGATTAAAATAGAAGGGAGACGAGATTATTTTATTCTGTCCGGTTCTTTTTTTTTTTTTGGGTCAGTAAGCTGTTTGAGCGAATCTTGATACGAGCATTGAGGATGCGCTGGAAATAAGCTAGAAATACTGTTGGACCGGAGGAGGCGAGTTAACCGGACTCAATTTTTTTCAAATGTCAGTTTTTTTACAGAAGTTTTAACTGAGGGTATTTTGAAAAACATATGTCATATTTATGATTATTATCTACCTTAACTAATATCTTTAATTTAATCAAAATAGTTAAATAGATTCTATATTAAAAACCGGAAGAGTATATTTATATCTTCATATGAAAACGGAGATGGGAAGGGAGAATTCGAAAACGAAAGGAAGGAGGGGGGATGAAGGAATGGTTAAGGAAAAAGTTGGGATTACAAAGAACGAAAACTCTGGGAAGATCTTGAAAAATGGGCTGAGATCCTTACGTAATTCTTTCTTGCTTGTGATTTTTTTTTGGGGAGGGGGGGTGTTCTCTTCTCTTTCCTTTTTTTTTTTGGTCCAAGTTCTCTTCTCTTTCCTTTACAATGGCAAGAATCTAGCTTTCATTTTCCCAAAAAGAAATTATGAGAGAGCTCATCTGGAATGGTAGGAATTCCGTTTCAAACTGGGATCCAAAACTGGCTTGCTCATAATTTTTCTGTGGGTGGATCTTCGCATGATAAGTGTCTTAGTGTTGAATATATCGCGTAGGACAATAGTTACGTTAACATTTTTGACTAACAGTAATGGACATACTTTGTATTGCTATGTGATCCACTTATTTTAAAGAAAATACACAGCTAACCAAATTTTGCCGCCTTAATTTAATAACAATCATGTTTTAAGTAGCAAGAGGACAAAAATTAAGTGTAGCTATTTCATAGGTTTGTAAAGCACTCGTATTAACATTTTCTTCTCTCCTTTTTTTGTGATGATGAAGCTAATACTTGCAAATAGCACATTTTGTTGAGTAGAGTTTCCATGACTTTAGAAATGTTACTTGTATATAAGAATCCCAGAGCCAATGTCAAACAGTACTATTCTATCCGATCAAAACCTATTTTGTTGTGTAATTATTTAGGACCGGAGGAGCAGTATTAATTTGTTGTGTCATAATTAGGAGTCTTTAATAAAAAAGAAAATGGCAAAAAAAGAAGTTAGTATCAATTTATTATTATTATTTACAAATTTAATGTTGTCAATACCACATAAAGCGTTATTACCAAATCTGATTTGGGATTTATTAATTTTCAACATCTTTTCTTGTCATTTTTACTTAATGAAAATATTGAAATTAAGTACCTTGTAAAATAAATAGCATGAAAGGATTTTTTACAATTACATCTTCTCAGAATTATAATAAAGTATTCTTAAAGATTTTGTATACTTGCAAGATTTTTCCGAATAAAAAAAATGGGGGAAAGTTGAGCTTCGGATCCCCAGAGTTTCTGCCAATTCATGATTTGGTTCTTGCATTTTAAATTTGTATTAATTCAATTCCTCTGGTTTCAAAAAAAAAAAAAACTTTCCCCAAAAGAACGTTTCCTCGCAGACAGTTAAATATCCTCCTCTCCTCACCCCTCTCGCATGTCAACAAACGGCTAGAGTGCTTTTACTGCTCCCAGAAATCAACAGTTACTCATAAGATAATCGACACGATAATATTAACGAGTAGTTCTTAGAGACCTCGATATACACAACTGTCCTGAAACTTTGCTTAACATCTCAACTTTGGGCAGAGATGGTCATCGGTAATGCATATGATTGATCTACACTCCAAAGTCTAACGAGTTTATGCGCGAATGGATGAATAGAAATATATAACATACCTTACATTCAATAACTTGGATGCATCATATCGGAAGTTTCGCCTTATATCATCAAAGTTACTCAGTAGAAGTCAATGAAAAATTCAAGAACTTCTACTTCGCAGCCTGTTTAACTTGAGGCACTATGCTTCGGAACTAGCAACTGGTGGGGCAGAAGGCTCTGCAATGAGGGCACTGGGGATGTGATTAGCTTCATCATCACGAGGAAGAGGAACTAACAAGTCAGAGAGGGCCATCTGAAGTGTAGAAATTTTCTCTTTGAGCTGACCGTTCTGCTGGAGGATCTGCTGGTTACATTCCAACAAGTAAATGATCTTCTGGGAAAGTTGATGGTTCATGGTCTGAAGATGGTCCACTTGATACTGAAGGTTTTCTATCTGCTGCTTCTTCCTCATCCTGGACCTGCGAGCAGATTCTCTGTTGGAGAACATTCTTTTCTTCTTCCTCTCATCGGCAACAACCTTCCCTTCGCCAGAATTATTGATGTTGTTATTGTTGTTACTGTTAGATGAAGTGTTTGGAGAGGGCTTATGGTCTATAAACAGAATTGGGTTGTTGGGAAGGTGTAACTGAGAGTAATAAAATGGAATATAGTGTAAACCTTGACTATGACCTACGACGTAAGAACCTTCATGGCTTTCCCCAGCTTCCATGTTGAATAAGCTTGAGGTCAGTGTGGGTTTCTGAGCAGGACAAGGATTGTGAAAATGCTGTTGCTCTACGGTAGTATTCCCCTCCATATCATCAGATTTTCAGTCTTAGATGGATACGAGTGAATGAGAGAGAGAAGAGGGGGGGGGGGAGGATAAGAGCTTTAATGGAATTTTGCAGATGGGACGCTCATAGACATGGGAGCTTCCCATGTACTTAAGCATTTATGCATGGTGCCGTAGATCATTATGCTTGTGTATACTTGGATTGGAATGTTAAGAAACGGTAAAAGACAGATTGCTTAAATGGCCTTTGCTCTGCAGAATGGTCGGGGAATAATTGTGAGGCAAAAGTGATTTGATTGCTCAAGGCATCAACGTTGTCATTTTTTGCTTAAATCACGGTACAGTGCAACCAAAAATGCATAGAACCAAAACTGGAATTACGTAATTTCCTTCCTTTCAAGGTAAGATTGAGTAATCAAACAGTACGTGAAGTAGTATATGTGCATTCCCAATTACCAGAAGTACCTCTACAACTGGCTGTATCGTTCAACCAAGGCATTAACGCTTTATTTGAATCTGGAGCAAGCAAACCTGAGGAATTGAAGGTGGGGAAAAAAAAACTCAGGCCAAGCACTACAACAGGAATTTCACTGATGGAGAGATTCCAAACCTTCTAAAGAGTAACAAGCCAAAGGATAGGCAGTGAAATAATTTGCATTCATGTCATAGGACTTTGCTTTTTAAAGTGGGTGTGGAATCATTAACTCGTACGCATTACCTAAGCTTTGGTTTATACGTACTCAAAACGAATTCGCCATTTTTCATGTGCCATTCAAAAGGATCATTGACAATATATGGATAAACTATTTTAGTCGTTATGCATATAGTAGAGATGCTAATCAGAAATCAGAATCCTATTTTACCTTCATTTGGAATTCCCCCTCGCATATCGTGAGTCACCATCGTCTGAGACAACCAATAAATGGAATGATCAAGTCAGCAAAATCTGTAGATCTGAAAACTGGCCGATATAAATGAATGTTCCTTACATTAAAATTGCAGAACAAGCGCAACTTTTTGAAAAGGAAAACTTTGGTGAATGCAATGGCGAAAATGGGGGGGAAATTCTATCCTTTAGCTATGGGTGCTTTCTAGGCTACATCCACGCCCACTGGCACTAAGAAAGTGGTGAATCTCTAGTTACCTACGTCTCAAAATAACATTTATGACGACTTGTAAAAATAAAAATGGATCTGATAAAAATTATATGCTTAAAACTGTCGCTTACTACTTTCTCTTGAGAATATTTTATACGCTATAACCATTATAGGTAACATTCACAAATTATGCAGCATCAGTTTTCATTTATATTCCATTTCAAGGAGTCGAACTTAAGAGCATGCTCCATCACGATTCCTTTAGAAAAGTTAGTCGCCTTTCTAACTGGAGCATCGCCATAACTAAGCATCGAAGTAACAGACATCCGATACAACAACTGGTAATAGAGCAGTATTATTATATGCATATATATATATATATATATTGATTTATTTATTTTCTTTACCCCCGGGAAAAAAAGAAGAAGCTTGTCATGGAGGAAAAAACACATTCAGAAGTTCTTGACTCAAGCGCAAAGAGCCCCCCAAAAGACAATAGACCTTCGATCAAAACGTCTGCATCTTGCGACGCTTGTTGAATACAAAAGAAATTACAAGTCACAACTTAATGTACCAAAACAGAAGCACAGATCAATCAATAAACTAGAACGTCGATGTTGCTCAATGGTTCTATTGGTTTGGCATGACTCAAGAAATCCGTTCAACTTTTTGGGGATGTTAGTAGCATAAAGCTTTAATCCCAGCATTATGAAAAATCTGATGAAAATCACATGAAACAAAGATAGCACTCTAACTCAATTGCAACATTCAAAAACCACAACAAAATACAAATAGACAAATTTGCGCAAATAATTTCATTTATACCCTGTAGCCTGAAGTTACAATTCAAAGAGACATTCTTGTACTCAATCTCAACAACTTTAAGTATTGAAAATTAACTAGAGATGGGTTCTCCTCAACCAAAAAATCTACACCTTTAACAACCTAAAGCCCAGAAATGGTCAAAATCATATCTGAACCAGTAAGCATCATAGGCTACGGCCAGAACTTTGCATCCTCCAATGCTCATAATCAGCATCATCAGTAGGCAACTCATATCGACAAACAGGACAAGTATTCCGAATTCCCAACCATGGGACAATGCATTCTCCATGGTAGAAATGTGAACATGGCAACTGCTTCGCTTGCTCTTCAACATTGAACTCGTCCTTACAAACTGCACAAAGTGCCCCATCTTTCTCGATATCTTGTTTGCTCACAATCACTGACGGGAGATTCTGAACAACCGATACGGAAGCTGGAGGCCGACCAACCAAGGGATTCTCACTGTCAGCGAACTGGCCAAACATCATTTCGTACTCTGCAGTATAAATATAGTCATCATGATCACCAAAATAAGGTTCTGCATCGTGATCCAAATCAGGGTTCGTGTCCAGATTATTGGCATTCAACAACACTTCCCAACCCAAATTTTCCACGCCTCCCGCTCTCATAGCTGCTTCTTCTTCAAGCCCATTTATTGGGGAAACTGAAACTGAGACCGACGCATCATCCTCACCGGTGAGCATGCTCAAAACTTCCCTCTCATCAACCCGACCATCAACTTCTTCCCACTCAAAATCTTCGGTATTCTCCCCGTATTGCTCCACTTGTAATGAATCCCAACAAAGAGGGAAGCCGGCAACATCGTCGTTCTCGTCATGCACATTGTATTCATCTTCCGAATGAGCCCGCACGCACAAAGTCCCATCATCCTCTTCATCAGAATCTGACCCAAACTCTACGAGCCGTACACAGTTGTCAAAAGGCCGAATTCTGCTTGCCGTGGACGGCGTCCCCACAGACTCAGATCCAGAAACCCTCCTCCCGAAGAGAAAATCGTCACCATCTCCACCACCACCACCACCAGAACCATAATTTTCGACCACGAACCCGCTATTGTCATCACCGTGCAAAGAATCCCTCTCCACGCCAAACCCTAAGCCCAATCCGAAATCCATACCCAAAGCATCAACACCCGCGTCGGAATGACCCTCAATAATGCCGAAATTAGAATTATCCAGGACTTCGGAGACCAAATCGCTGTGACCCATGACCTGCGATTGCTCAACACGCTGCTGAAAAAGATCCATAACGAAATTCACCTGGTTTTCGCGGTCCAATAGATCGGTGCTGGGAATCGAACCAGGGTCCGAGAAGTTATCATCACCTCGTAGAGAGATGGTGGATTCAAATTGATGAGACAAGCCGCCGCCACGAGGGGTGTTATGAGGGCGGAGGGGGGAATTGGCCGGCGGGAATTCGGGATCGGAAGGATAGAAATCGAAATCGAAATCGGCGTGGGACCAGTAGGGGATAGAATCAAGAGTTAGAGTCTGCTCAGGAAGCTGGGGATCGTCGTCTGCTTCGCGGCGACGGAGGCAGGTGACATCTGCCATTAGTAACGTTCTTAAGGCGCCAAAGCCTCTAAGGTACGTCGGGGAAGGAATGGGAGAATGTGGGGGCTATAACTGGGTAAAGTGTGGAATGACGAAAATAGGCCTCTTGTTTTGTCGTATTGACTTGTGATACGCGGTGGTTGATCAGCATTTTTTGCCCTTCCAATTGGACGTCGTAATGGCTAATCGCATCCGAAATGGCAGGAAGCACCCGTTCTTTTTTTTTTTTTTTTTGATAAGTAGGAAGCACCCGTTCTACCTGCGTTCGGGTTTCAGGTTCGAGGTTTGGAAGGTTTGGAAGGCAAAAATCACAAATACTAATATTTGAAAAAATAAATAAATATTACTCAATACTTTCTCAGTTACTTTTTTTTTTTATAAGAGATAATTAATTCAATCGCATTAATTAAAAAAATTGGTAAAAATGAGTTAAAGACAATATATATATAACGTAATTTATTTTTCAAAAAACCTTATTTATGGAAAAGGTGGGTGGAAGGAAAAATAAGCAGAAAAATATGAGAGAGGAAGAGTTAGTAATTAATCAAGGATAAAAATAAAAAAAATACATTAAATATTTAGACAAAGTGTAGCTTATAGAAAGTAATAAAAGCAATAGTAAATAGAGTGTCTGTTTGTGTCTTGTGTAAAATCACCATAAAATATGCTTGTATAGTTTTATTTTATTGACTCCATTGTATAAAATTTGGGTCATCATACATGCATATATGTATAATTTGATAAAGAACTTTCCGTTAAAAAATATCTACGCAGAGAACATAAACTTTTATGGGCTTGATCTAAGAGTGAGGGGAAATAATAGAGCATGTATATTGAAGCAGATGAAAATGTTGATGATGCATGCTTTTTCCAATAGACTAAGCGGATAAAAACAGAGAGTATTGAGGAAGGTGAACTTGCCGCTTATGTCCGCCACACTTAATCTTCGCTTTCAAGTGAGCCAAGTTTATTAGATCAGATTACTGAACCCATGGCATGCACTTCTAATGATTCAATCGTACTTTTTTCCCCCCTAAAACAACAAAAAAGTGAGCAAAGTAGCCAAGACCAACGGGTTCATGCATCTTTGTTAATTGAGAACATGAACTTTCTCATTTGTACTTCTCTACCAACTTGGAAGTTACCTTCAACCAAAACAAGAAAGAGCACTAGCAGGTGAATACTCTTCACCATCCTAAAAATGGACCAAGGACCATAGAATGCAAAAGATCAAAGTTCCTTCGATTATTAAGAATTAATTTGATGGGCGAGGAAAATAAGCACCAGAGGGAGACCGCTTATCTGTTTATTAATAGCATTTTGTTCTTAATATGTATTTTCGTAGTAGATCCTTCACTATCACTGCATGAGTTTAGTAGGTTTACAGTAGAATACGTGATTTCTGTGTCAGCTGTTGGAATAACATAACTGGTGTGGAGATGCATCTCAGCGATGACCAACAGAAATATATGATGCGTTATATTCAAAAAAATGATAATAATTACAAGACTTTACAGATGCCGGAGGATTTTCATAATTCGAAATCTGCTAAACGATCTAACCTTTCAATCTTTTCTTTTTAGCAATGCGCATCGGTATTAGGATACGAGTCTACTTGATAGACGACTTCAAAAACGGGTTGGAGGGGCGACTTGGTTGTGCCATACTACCCTCTAACTTCTTCACTTCCTGCTTATTTGACGACTTTACAGAGATATCTTGAGAATGGAGAGCTGGGCCCTGACGCAGTTCCCCAAATTTCCCTTCCCTATCATTTATCTCATTCACTGTATTCTTCCCCTTTGTTTCATTTGCCACCGCAGTTTTATCTTCCCCTGGCGATTTGGCTTTCTTGGTCAACAAAGGAGCAGATAATTTTGGTGATGACGACATAATGACTGTGGCTGATGCTTCAGTCTGAGTTAGGACCTTGCTTCTGCTATTTGAAACGTCAACTGGCAAGGGTGCCGTCCGGCCATCTTGGCGGTGGTTGGTATCTGCGGGCTTTTTCATTTCACGGAGAAGCCTTTGCTGTTCCATGCACAACAGTAAAACACAGGGTGACCATGATATTGGCTGTGATATCTCTGAACATCATGCCCTATCAGAATGCCGAAGACATACCTCTAATATGCTGGTGAACCTCTCGGCCAAGTTAGGAAGTTTTAGAGCAGTCACAAGTTTAATTGCACCTTTCATTGATTTCTCCAATGATAAGAGCTTCACAAGTTCAGTGGCTCTCACGAGCTTATCTCCTGTTATATACACAAACGTGGAGCATTAGAATCAAGGTCATGGATAAACCTTTGGGGGAGGGGGTAATAATTTTCTTAAAATAGGTTATTTTTCACATGCAATAAAAATCCAAGCATTTGTAGCTCCCACACAATTTCCCTCAATTCTTGCACACCCCTCCTCCAAACCAAAAAAAAAAAAACGCATTCAATCCTGGATTCGTCCCTGATCAAAGTTATGAAGAGTGGAGAGAGGTAGAGGCATGTCAAGAGATATTAATCTCTACCGAGCAAACCATAACACGGATTTACCATTACAGCAGGATGCTATAAGCCGAAGTATGCATCTATCTTGCGCTGCTTCGAGATTGAAAGCTTCGTCATCAAGCGAACTGGCATCCAAACCGGCAACAGCCATTTCATCCATTCTTTTCCGAATCTGCATGGTACAAATCAATTCAGTATCGAACAGCAACAAAGTAACAAATTGGGGGAAAAACAGCCTGTAAGAAAATAATTTTAAGCCAAAAAAACAAAGAAAGAAAAGAAAAAGTCTTAATCAACTGAATTCATCTGAATCATGAGGTCTGCAGGCCCACTAGACTGCAAAAGCTGAAATCTGCAAAGGTTAACAAGGACAAACCTCAAAGAGATGCATGTTGTTCATTATGAACTCATTCTCAAGGGCTTCCGATCCCAGATCAGAGGAAGCAAGGGGAAACGAAAGATTCAGCAGAGTAAGAACCGGTTTAGGCATCACCTGATGATGAAGTGAAAATTAAATCTGGTCAACCCATAGTCAAAGGAGTCAAACAGAATACCTCATACTACGCTTCCTACCTGTGGGAAGGTATCAGGTTTCTTGCATATCACACAAAATAACTTGCTTGCATTTAACCCCACTACCCAATAGTTTTCATCTTTCTCTTTATTTGCACTGCATGGAAATTTTAATGAAAGAAGTTATCCTCCCGAAACTCCGCATGAGGATTGAAAACAATTAAGTCATAAACTGATAATATCGAACCTAAAAAGTGGGAGCCAGCTACCTCCATACTGACTTGTAAACACTCTGAGCACGCCCTACATAATGTACTGAAGTGTTAGCTTCTTGTATGTTTCAGAAGAATTTAACGGACAGGAATGACATTATATGGAACATTGACGCAATTGATTAGAATACCTTGGAATCATAGGAACTCAATTGGCCATCTTCACTAAATCCAAACCATGTTAGAGATGAACCAGGAGTCAATGGCAAGCAGCCTTTAAGGAGCTGGGTTTCATTCGGTATGTTAAACACTCTAAACTCGAGCACCTGAATTTGTCAAATGAGAATATATTATTTTGGCAAAAAGAAATACCATCTTATGGATGGGTGTTTATCATTCAGATTAAATATGTAATCCCAGTAGGGTAACCTTACATGAAGCAAATCTATACACTAAACCAACCTGATTATCTGAGGAAACACAACCGGAGGCATGAGTAACAACTGCCAATTTATCCTTGAAACCTGAGGCGGTCACCACTGGCCCATCCAGCGAAATAATATTTCTCTGCAATGAAATTTACTCAGAAGTGCAAATATTGCAAGGAAACTACCATCAACATTTACAGATTCTCTTGTCTCACCAAACACGTTATCAATTGATCATAAAGAAGTCAAAACTTACAGCATGCTGCAAAAGTAAGTTTACTCATGATCAATGGTTCAAATGCAAAATTTAAAAAAGTCCTGAAAGAAATAAGGTTTTGGATTTGTAACAAACCTGCAAACCACCATCCGTAAATATACGAAGATAGTTAAAACTAGTTGCTGCCGCCACCCAAGCAGTACCAAGTGCAACAACTTTTACTTCTTCTCCTTCAAAGCGCATAGACCACTATCACATTTTTAAAACAAGTGAACTTACGATGAAATGTTGTGTTGCAAACACCAAACAGAGTTTTATCCAATAGTAATGAAAGGTTCAATGTCCTTATGAAGGCGAAGATAAGTAATGAGTGTAATCAGATATAGCCATGTGATTCTACCTCACTATTACTTGCCCAACTACTAAATGGACGATACATGAGAGTGCTCATGTTGTTCTCCCCTTTGCAAGGATTTGCAAAGACGCTCCCATTCTCATTTAAGGCAGCCATTGTGAATCCAAAATGGTCGGTCATTGATGGAACTCGCGGACTGCTGCCAGTATCATGAAAATCAATCTGTAGACATGTCAACCTATTAGCATATGTTAGAGGTCAACTGCAAAAGCTACAATTTTAACTTAAATCAACACTGCGATGAAAGAATGAGTTTTAATTATCTCTAATACATGCATTACCTCTATGTGGAAGTATCCGTCGTGTTCAATTGTGGTTATACTTCCAAGCATAGTGTAGCACAAAAAGCGTCTTTTCCCAAGCTGTGCAGGAGTCGATCCTGGTTGAAATGCTTCTTGCATATTTGGTTTACATGTTATGATTGAGCTTTTAAGTCCCACATTCACACTGTTTAAATTGTCTTTATGAATGCGACTTGGTTTTTTACGAGATTCAACCTTTGGGTGTAAAGCCATGTCGTCATTGTCATCCTCATTAAAGTTTTCCTCACTCAGAGGGTGTTCACGTAATCTTTTCCTGCTCGGTAGTTCAGACTCCCCATCGCTATCATCACCAAGATCACTTATACTTCCACTTGCACAAAGGTCCGGATCCTCCTCATCAAACAAAAGAAGCCCATTACTATTCTTAGACTGCATGGGAATATCCTCTGTTGGGGATTTCATGGATGAGGGAATAACAGAATCCCAGATACCAAACTTCCCTATGACATCAATGATAGCCAATGCATTACCTATTGGCTTCCAAGCCATGCAACATATTCTTTCATTGAATTTTTGCCTATCAATATCCTGCTTTCTATTTACATCCCAAATTAGGACCTGCCTATCCAAGCTAGAAGTAGCCATGTACTTGCCATTAGGTGACCAAGACAAGAAACATATAGGTTGCGTATGATCGCCCTTCAATGAAAACAACTTTTCAGCAGTATCCCTATCATACATTACAACATCATTTTTTAACCCCGGAACAGCCAAGGCCTCACCATCAGGACTCCAGCAAAGAACATTCATAAAAGATGCGTCTGCTTTTGTGTCAGGAGCAATGCCTTTGAGGTTATGAACTATTCTTCCTGAGTGAAGTTCCCAATAAATAACAGTTCCAAATGAATCTATAGATGCCAAGTATTCACCATTGGGGTCAAAAGCTAAGCCCGTGATAGTCCCCTTATGACCTTTGAGAACCCGAGCTATAGAACCATCAACTGTATTGATAAGTTTAATGCCCTCATCATCACCAGCTGCTGCTAACAAACTCCCTGATTTATTAAATGCAAGTGAACGTATTGGAAGTGTAAACCTGGTAATATTAGTCTGGAACTCTCCGCCTGAACAAGATGAATTGAATTAGATATTAGGTAATTGGAAGAATTTTAATACGAAATTCTTGGACAAGAGGTCAACAATGCTCATCTGGAAAATTTAGGCCTAATTCCAACAAAGTTTGCTGACATGATTAAAAAGCTAGCAATGCAATTACTTAAGGTCAATGTTCGCAGACATCACTTTCATTGGTAAGTACAAATATTGAGACTCCTAGTGATTAAAACGTGCAAGATAACTTACAAATCAAAGTACAAAACTCCAAAACAACAACAAAAACAAAAAATCAGATCTGGACCTCCATTGTTTTCATTCGTACAAACCCAAACAGGACATGAGGGATTCCTAAGTTTCAAATATAATCTGACAAGTAACGTAAGTGCATTTAGAGAGGAAAAAAATACCCGGGAACTTGTAGAGCTTCACGGAGTGATCGACGGATCCGGATGCAAGACATGTAGAGTTGGGGCTAAGGGCCAAAGCGGCAACGCCATCGCGGTGGTGAGTGAGAATCTTCGGGGGGGATGAAAGAAGCAGAGGGTCGTGGATTGAAATGGAGACGTCGGAAGAGCATGCGGTGACGAGATGTTGAGCCTGTTGGTCCCACAAGACGGAGCAGAAAGAAGGGCGGCCGCTGCTAGCAGCCTGGTGGGCTTCCCTCAGCTTCACCGATCGGATTTTCATGGCGGTATCAGAAATGTTGTTCGTCAGATTTTGGTTGAGACTTGAGACAGATATGAATTTTGTGAATCAGAATGTAAAGCTTAGGGTTTTAGAGGATGAGGTCGGATCTGCGCTTCAATTCAAACGTTTGGGGTTTTGGCGCGAGATGGGGAATTTTGGGTTTTGGGGGCTGGCGGGAGAGAAGGGCATTTGAGTCAGATCAAAGGGAATCAAACCGATTGAATCATATCCTGACATCTAAGGGCTTTTTTGCCCTTTGTGTTTGCCCCAACATTTCCTAACATCTATGCTGCCATAATACAATGGCCTGGCAAGAAGCGCGATTTCACCAAGGGCACATCGAGTTTTCTTTTTCTTTTTCTTTTTTTTTTAACCAGAAGTGTCTTTTTTTTGGCCAAAAACCAGAAGTGTTGAAAAATACTATTTTGAACAGCAAAACAAATGGGCAATTTAAAATAATTAATTAAATTAAATGTAAGGGCAAAAAATTCCTTGTGCACAATTTAGTCACGGTAATAGTAAAATTCTAATTTCATTGGCCAAAAAAATAAAATTTTAATTTCATCGCATGTTATGCGATGATTAGATGAGATCTCCTCATCTCTGGTTTGATACTTATCTTAGCAATTTTTTGATTATGTGATATTTATTATATTTTTTAGCAAATAAATATTAAAATATTTTACGGAACTCAGTTTTTATGCATTTTTTATATTATTAATGTGGTCTAAAATCATTATACTATATCTAACATATATTCAGTGCATTAAGATTTTATTAGGACGTAATTGCCAATTTAATTACTTTTACATGTAAATGTGTGTTTTTTTTTTAAAAAAATACCTATATCAAGTTTTTATAACCATTATGTTAAGTTTGCTTAATCATACTTGACTATGTATCCTTTTTTTTCATGATGTATTATCATGTTTAATTGGAGAACAAATTAGATCTAAAAAATCTTTTTTTTTTTTAGGTATGAAATGGTATATGAGAGTTGAAATAACTCTTCCTTCCCGCGTGAGCCTTTCCCCGCTGAAGTTTTGCTATGATGGAACGCCCTCATTAATTATTGCATACTGATTATACGAGTTTTCCTGGCCAGAACATCTACCATCCAATTAGCATTATGAAATGGAGATGGCGGACGGTAACATGCTTCAAGATATTATATATTGGCCCAAAAAAACAAAAGATATTACTACCTCCGGTCCTTATTATAAGACCCCGTTTGACTTTTTGTTTGGTCCTAATTATAAGACCCTAATCTATTTTGTCTCTCTTATTTATGCATTTTTTTTCCAAGATACTCCTTCTAATAATGATAGTTCTAGCCAATATACTTAATTAGCAAGGATATTTTAAGAATGACAATACTTATTTATTACAAATAACTAACTTAACTTACTTCCTTAATCTCCTCAAATAAATCAACTGGGTCTTATAATTAGGATCGGAGGTAGTATATAGATTAGGTATAGCCCACTGGGTCTGTCGCTTGTTTAATTTATAATTAGATACGGATCATCATGGTCATATGAAAGCCCTCATCCCCAGGTGCCCTGTCACTCTAAAGTTGGGTTGGTCAAAGCGAGACCACCATTAACCCCGAGATTCAAATTTAAACCACCCTCTTGCTCTCTTTTTATTATCACGGTCTCATCTTCTAAATATAAAAACTAATCAACCAATTTAAATATATTAACAAAATAAGTTAAGTTAGTTATTTTAAATAAATAGGTATTATTTTTTTTAAAATATCCTTACTAATCAAGTTTATTTTAGAATTGTTATTATTAGAAGAAAATGGATAAATATAATAAACAAAATAGACTGGGGTCTTATATTTAAGATTTAAAGAAAAGTCAAACGAGATCTTATATTAAGAACCCGAGATAGTATTATTTTAACTCTTACTAATAATTCTGCTTTCAGGTACTTACTAACTAATTAGTCAAACTAACGGAACGATATTTAGTCAATAATTTAACCTCAGGGGCGGGCAAAGGTTAGTTGGAAGCAAGGATGGAAAAATGTGTATGGCGCATAGAAAGTTATGGATTGTGGAGGTTGGAGTAAAATAAAGGACCTAGGGTTTTGTTTCAGTTGAAACAAATTCTTCTCGTTGCATGCATGGAGGCAGACAGGCGCTGAACACTTTGCATCTTCCATTCCACGCGACCGCACACCTTTTTCTCTATTTCTTGGAACCCCATGCGTTTTTCAGCTCTTCGTCTTAGGCACCTTTTCAACATTGCTTTGTCTCCTTTTATTCTCCCCAGGCTTCCAGCACATTGTTTAATATTAATCCATGGAGTGAGAAATAGGGCCAGCTTTGACCTGAGACTTGAACCCTTATAGATAAAGGGTCCTCTCTTCTCCTTTTGCAGGATTTCTCTGTGTTGCTGATATATGTATCGCAGACATACTCTTTGATTACTAGTGAGGCAATAATGGTGTCTCCAAACTCAACTACTAACATCCTTCTCATCTTGAGTTGCCTTCTTCTAAGATTCTCCATCGGACATTCCCTACAAGGTTTAGCCTTTTTCCCTTTTAATTTCTCTTGCTGCAGACTTAGTTTTCTCATTAATTATGTGCACACTAATAATACCAGTCTTATACCTTTATGCTGTTCTCCTTGTTTAGCTTCAATAAAGAAGAGTACTATCGTTGGTACTGCTGTCAGGCTTCACTCAGAAAGGCGCTCAGTTAAGGCGGAGGAGGTAATTCATATCACTATACCTAATTTTTGTAGGTTGGAAAAACTTTAAATATTGCGGCAAGTTCTTTCGAACTATTGGTAACTATTTGTTAACATGTCATGTTTCATAACTGGGCTGATCATCCATGACTCTAGCCTAACGTTGGCTGATTAAGTTATTCTTTTATCTTGTATACATTGGTTGATTTGGTTATTACTACCTATTTTGCACCTTATTAGTTGATTAAATCAAAGTCTCTTCCTCTACCGAGTTATTTAATGGATGTTACCAGCTGTTAGCGTAGTAAAAAAATTATCTCTTCAACACCAGCACTGGGAATTATGAGACTGGATACACTCAGTGTAGAACGAAAGGGGAAAAAAATAAACTGAAGTGACTTAGTGGGGTGTTTTGGACAGCAGATGCATCACCAAGCGGTAGTAGCTGTTGAGATGGAGAAGAGGACAAGGTTTGGAAGGAAGGTGGAGAGCAGAAGATCTCAGCATTGGATTGCAGAAGGTTCTTCAACCACAACTTCCGGAGAAGTGCATTGCATCGAAACTTGTGAGCCTAATAGACGACCAGGATGCGTGGAGCGTAAATTCAGTAAACGAAGAAGTCGTTGTTCTATGCGCCACAACATGTCTGGTTTTGTTTCTTGGAATGCTGACTATAATGTTCCAAGACCTCACCCGCCTAGGAATAACTGATCAAGCAAACTTTCATTTGATTCTGTGTATTTAGCTAGCTATAGCTATCTTTTCAAGGCTTTCATTGCTCGCCTTTTCTAGCTAGTTTCTATATACATATATATTTATTCTTTCTAGCTCCCTGCACCAATTTTGTAACATTTTAGAGGAACGATGAGATTTGTAAAATATAGAGTATATTTATTGTGGGAATTATACCGCCTTGCATTACTATAAGTACATGTCAAAATTTTGTTGCATTAGCAAAATTCAGTTGTGAAGTGATGTATGTGTGTTTAATGATCATGAGCCCGGGGCGGTAAGATGAGAATAAAAACACGTCTCAATGATGAGCTAGAATCATACAGGATGAGGTGTGTGTATGGTACTAGACACACACACACACACACATATTTCAAGGTTTGGTGGCCCTGAAATGAGGGATGTGTGCATGCCACGATTACAGGGTATTTTGTGGCAACGCGGCGGAATATCTGGAAACTCGTCCTTCTGTGTCTGGATACCACACCAGTGATGGGCAGTTCTCTAGGGCAACATTAATTAATCCAGTTGCTAACTCAATCGTATACGGTAGTTCCCTGCAGCACCTATAGCTCCTGAATCCTGATGGACGCTATCTTGTTGAAATGGTACTACTTCCATTCCATTTTGGGATCCTGGGTCTATCCTTTTCTGTTCTTCCACACGCGCGTCGAGTTCTAATTAATAACTATTACTTCTGGTAGTTCACTAATTTGAGTAAATTAAGAAAATTATTAAGTTAATTATTTGTAATAAATAGGTATTGTCTTTTCTAAAATATTCTTTCTAATAAAGTGGTATTAGCTAAAAACCATTATTTAATGAAACATTTAACATGTGCAACTACTATAAGAACTATCTTAAAAAAAAAGAAGGGAAAACCATATTGGAGGTACTTATACTTTTTTTCAATTTTCAATTTGGTACCTATGTTTTTTTTTGTTCTTAACTAAATCTTTATTTTTCCTCTATTAACATCATTAATCCTTATGTAGAGACTAAAAATATCAATAGAACAAAGTTATAAGAGCTAATGTTGCTAAAAAGATAAAATTAAATGTTTAATTAAAGGGAAAAAAACACATAGGTACCAAATTAAAAATTGAGAGAAAGTATAGGTACCTTCAATATGGTTTTCCCAAAAAAGAAATATGAGAGACAAAATGGATTAAGGTCTTATATTTATGACGAAATTAAAAGTCAAACTAGCTCTTATATTAAGGATAAGTAATATGACAACAACCTTCAGTTTTATGGCTGAGATATGTTGTTTTCCGCTTTTTTAGGAAAACTAAATGTCCATTATTGTTGCGGACCTCTAGAGGAGCACTGTACTACTGACTTTCTAATTTGGTGAGTGCAAATACGAAACGAGCTCGCTGCTCAAATTGGCCATCCATATCTGAGCCTCGACGCATATACTCTGATCGCCACTTGGAGGATCTGTTAGTGAATTGACCATATATTAAGAGAAAATTAGTTGACTCTGTTAAAGATATCTTAAACTTAAGTGCGTTTTCTCAAAGAAATTATACTCATTTAATAAAAAGTCTTTTACTCTCGTTAATTACCAACAAAAAAAAAGAGCATGGGTTGAGCAAAAACATATTAATACATAGTTCAAAC